TCAGCAGGTAAATAAAACTGGCCCGGCCCGCCAGGGTGCTTACCCTGGCGAGCCGCGTGCCAAACGTTGCCGACCCCTGACTTAAGTGCTTTCCTGAATCAGGGCCTGGGCTAACATGGCCAGTTGGAATGTTCTAATGTGTCTGCTTGGACAGTATTTAGTGGCAAATCAGTGACTGTACCTGTATAGAAAGGATGGTAACAAAAGGATAGGAACATAGGAATTGCCATTCTACATCAGACCTTAGGTTCATCTAACCCAGTAATCTGTTTCTGACAGTAGCCAGCACCTGGTGCCTCAGAGGAAGGTGCAAGAAATCCCATAATGGACATTTATTTAATTAATCAGCCCAAAGGGTAAGTTTCTTCCGATATCGGCATCTGAATGTGCAACATTAAAATATTGAGAGAAAGAAGGGAAATTTGAGCCAAACACAGTTTTGTCCCTACTTTTTCCTAAGAACCCTTCAGCATTTGAGCCTGATCCTTCATGGTGCTGGGGACCCTAAACTCACATTGATGTTGGTGTCAGTGCAACACTAAAACCTTGCACATTAGGCTCTTTTGGGGGGTGAAACTTCATTTTTTCCCTTGAGTTCCGCCTCTTTACATCATGATAAGGAAAAGCTGGCGTTGGTGTTCTGAGATTTTAGAGAGACATTTTCAGCACAAAGGTCGAGCACCAAAATGCAATGACCAGTGAGACTGTCATGCTTTCTCACCATTTAATTTTGTCTGACAGTTTTAAACTATACAGTACAATCTTTAGTTGCATTTCATCATTCATGTGCAAGGCACCCTACAGTGCTGTTCAGAGAGTCATTACAAATCATGCACTACAAAATATTAATTTCCTAAATTAAAATGCAGCAATACAAAATGAGGCGTCACTTTGACTGCACAGCTGGAATGAATCCAAAAGGTGGAGAACACCAGAATTGCAGGGCTAAAACTGGCTCTGCTATAAGGAGATACAACTCGATTGGAATCAGTGGAATTGCATCCCCATTTATACTGGGTCTGGATTTGACATAAAGTAGACAAAATGCCCATATTTGAAGGATTTTACCTTGCATAGTTGAAGCTATTTCATCTTTAATAAGTGCAATGAGCAAGAAGGACATAGGAGATCAATATATCAACAATGCAACACTAGCCCCAAAACGTAAAGCCTTACACACTATTCCTGCTTGCTGAAAATCAAAGTGATGAGCAACTGGAAGTCAATGTAAAATTTCATAGCTACTGCAAACATACAGCTTAATCTTGTTACTCCCTGAATACATCACAATTTGAGCAGTTTACAAAGGAGACCAATGAAGTTCAGCAATTTGGGGCCCATTTATAAAATTAAATTTCTGAATGTCATCAGCAGGACATGTGTCTCTCTCAAAAACTTGTGGTCCTCATCACATATGGACCCTTGTTGGTGGCATCAACAGAGGCTGAGGACTGAGTGGGCCATCTATCAGGTCTGATCCATCTCTACAGATGGTCACTACAGGTTAGGGTTGAGGCAGGGTGTCATGGTGCAAGTTTGTATTGCTGTTGCACGGGCTACCCTTGTGCCGTGGTTGAAGAGAGGACTCCAGTCTCCATCCAGTCCCTTTCACTAGCACTGAAATTCTTTTTATAAAAACCCCTCCACTGCTGTTCCATTGACAGTTGGGCTAATATTCAGTCTAGAAAATAAGTGGCTTAACCTGGCAGCCAGCCTGGCTGTTTCATGTACCACAAAAAGTGCTGCCAGAGATTGACTTTCAGAAGACCATACTGAGTGCAAACATTTGTTCAATGTTATTATCCCCTATCTGAGTGCTGGGCTGCGAACTCCTGAGTTCTGGAGTAGGATGGGGGAGGGGGGGGAATCGCCTGAAGTGCCAGAATAAATGATCTCTCTACAAATCAGAATGGCAAAGCTCACAGCAGGATCCAAGTTGGGCTCCTTTAATCGCCAGCAGGAATTCTGCTGACCTGCAGGTTTTTTAAAATAAATAAATAAAAAACCAACACCCCAACAACAACAGAAAATAAAAGATCTGAGCTGGTCTGCAGAGAGCTCATGTCTTCGGTGTAATAATTACGGGTTTGCTCGCACCAGGTGGACTGACTCATGAGGCTTTCTTTAATGGCTGCATCATTTCCATTCAGTGTGTACGTACGTGTATGAGCTTGTGTCAAGGCTGGAAGTGTTAAATCTATAGCACACAAGCAGGAGGAATTATTGCTGATGCTGTAGAACTGGGAAATGTCAAAAACTACAAACAGCAACAACAAAAAAGCCCCGGAATATCTGAAGAATACTATGAATGAATGGAAAATACCAGCAAGAACAAGACAATGGTGGTGTTAAAAAAACAACAAGGCAAATTTTTGATACATTTCACCAGGAACTGAATATTCCACAGGCTATTGTTCTTGGGAGTGAGATTCCCCCTCGGCTGAATGTCAAAATCTACTCCATTGCTTTTCCCCATGCTCTTTTTGTACAGGTTGTTATTGTTATTATTACATTTGCCTTTTTTACTGATCATCTTTTTAACCTCAATCTTCAACAGCCATTGTATATGCTGTGCCAACCTTGCCCTCATTCCAGAGGTCTGAAGTCAGATGAAAAGCCACTGCCAGGGGGAAAAGTGCTCTTCAGAGCAGCCCAAGGAAGTGACCAGGCGTCTACTTCTGCTGAATGCCCTGAGAAGGGTCCCAGAAAATGGGGGCCTCAAAAGCAGGGAGGACCGTTACTTTCACAGATGTCTCCCTCACCTTCCACGATGGGGCACATCCATGCTGAAGAATGAGGAAATGTGCATGTGGGGCAAAGGAAGTGTCCAGTCATGGCTACAAAAGAGGCCATAATTTCCAGATGTCTTGATTCAAGTATGGGCCAAAATTCTTTTATGTAAAACAGGTCCCTATGTCTGCAACGTTGGGACCCTGTCACTTCTCAGATAGGTTGGAAAACCAGAACTGCAAGAAGCAGGAAAAGATTTAGAGATGGGCTGAATGAAAATTCTGGAGCCAAAACACCCCATAACGCTGGATCTTCGCTGAAATTCAGCCCATCTCCAGTAGGATCCTTTTGCAAGGCAGCTTCAAATCCACTACTTGGACTGAGGTTTATTCATCAATAAATAAGATCAGCACCAACCAGGGGCTTTGTTATGCTCTTTTCTCCATTTAAACTTTAATCACAATAAATAACCAATGCTGACTGGAAATGTAGAAGTCTACGAATCGCATTGTTACCAGAGACCACAGAAGGCCTCGCCACTCAGCACAGCCTCACAGTTTCTGATTCCATGCTGCCACAACAATTGGCTTCCTTGGCGATTCCATTGGCAACTACTAATTCAAGCCTGTCCCAGCATATTTGGCGCAATGTCAACCCTCAGTGCAGATGTAACAAGGAGTCCCATTGAAGACAACTGATTTCCATTCAGGTAAAAGATTTCATCACAGCAAGTAAAGACAGAGGAGAGGCAACATCAGGAAATGCTAAACATTTTCTGTGCTATGAAAAGAAGCCAGGATGGAGCAAGAGACTGTTTCTTTTAAATAGATAGGGCAGACGCAAGGAGGGGGAAGGACTGAAACACACAGGCACAGTGAACACTGTGATGGCAGCAAACGGCATGTTTCTTCCATGATTGGGGGAAGGGGAGGAGAGTTAGTTAGGAGGGCATGTGAAGGCCACAGGGCAGGGAGAAGAAGGCAAGAGGGACAGGTGTGGAGTGAAGCTGAGGTGAAAAGACTGAGGTGGAAGAGGAGGGAGACTGTTGACCCAAACAGCCGATCATGACGGCACAGAAAATCCAGTCAAAACTGTTTCTCCTCCTCTGGAGATTCTGCACAAGGGGCTAGTTAATTGTTTCCCTGAGGTCTCGTTGGCCTATTATTCTGTGCAACAGGAGCTCATTCTGTATTACGTAGAGGGATTGGGAAAGGTTCACACCTCAGGAGAGAAATACTGATTGCTCATAGTATAATTCTGAAACAGCGAAGGGACCCCAATTCATGTTAAAATTCAAGGAAAAGGATGGCTCTCGGCCAGATTTTAAAGGTATTTAAGCACCTAAAAATGCAGGTAGGTGCCTAGTGGGATTTTCAAAAGTGCCTGAATGCCGACTTACATGCCTTAATACATAAGAAATACACTAGAGTGACAGTGGTTCAATACTGCACTCCCTAACTGCCAGTAGGAGAGGGCTGCTTAAGGCCTGCTCAGCGATCAGCTCAGCTCTCGTTTGAGCTGCATCTACAACACTGCCCACGTGAAGCCCTGTCTAAATGGGAAATACTGTTGGACGATTCCCTCCTTGGGGAAAATGATTGGGTGAGTCTCTCTCTATGGAGAAATTGTCAGATGCAGCTCTTTATGGGAGTGCGCTGCCTCTCCATGGGAAAACTGTTGCCTTGTGTCTCTCCAAAGGAAAATTGTCACCTGCTTTGCTCTGCAGGAAAATTGCCAATTTTGTCCCATTATGGTAGAAATTGTCAATCATGTCTCTATATGAGGGGAAAATATCAGCCTAGGAGAGAGATTAACAAAACTCCATACAATTCCCAATCCTTTAATACACTTCCTAGAAGGCTGAGGCTATACATTGTTCTCACTGTGCCTTTTCTATTTGGCATCCAGCTTTCGCAGCATTTCAGATTCATTAGGATGCCACAGTCCAGCTTTTGTAACACCATCAGCACTGCATAAGATGTATGAGTTATCCACCATGCACAGACCAGTCAAGGAGAGTCTGACTGGAAAGGAAATGCAGACAAAGCACATAATTGCTTGATGAAGTCTGGGTAATCATAGAAACATAGAAGATTAGGGATTGAAGAGACCTCAGGAGGTCATATAGTCCAACCCCCTGCTCAAAGCAGGACAAACCCCGACTAAATCATCCCAGCCAGGACTTTGTCTTATAGGGCCATATAGTCTCCTACATGGGCTACTCACAGTTTCCTTTGCACTCTTCCCTTGAGGGGCTCATGGGTGCCCTGCCACTCATTCACATAGAAATACTGTCCTAGTGCTCCCAGTGACTCCCTGGTGATCCATATGGTACTTGTGGGCCTGTGCACCAATCCCCCTCTGATTCCTTCGCAGAAGAGACTCTGAAGAGTTGCTCTCCCAAGCCCAAGGATCTTTCATCCTGCTAATGGTAAAACTTCCCTAGGTAAGGAGTTCTTAGAGTAAAGGGAACAGTTCATTTGATCAGTCTGGGGTGCTGATAAGTTTAACTAGTCTACCTCTGTATTAGCCCCTGTGGGAGTGCATGGATGAGATGCTGCTGATTGTAGCAAATAAAGCATGAAGAATGGGTAGGACCTTTTTTGGGAGGGAAGGAGTCATGAAGAGAGGACAGGGTTCAGTCTGTGAAGGCTTTAAGAGCACTGATGCTGGAAACATAAGAGCTGATGCACACTGTGAAAAACCCGGGACAAACCCTCAACAGAAAGCCTCATACAAAGAGGGAAATGATAAAAAGCAGACTTTGATCCCTTTGAGTTCCTGGTACTGTAGGGCAAGTGCTTACAAACCACCATGCGTCCCACCAAGTGATCATGAGAGGGGTCTGATCAGAGTTAATGCATTCATTCCGTGGTGCGCTTGCTATGCCGACGATATTTTAACTCCACCATCAGAGGTATTTAGACAGCTAAACATTCATATAGAGTCTGAGGCCATTAAAAGTGGAAAAGTTAAGAAGGGAGGCCAAGTGGATTTCTCCACCCTTTGCAGCTGTGAACATTTCAGGAGGGATGGAAATGGATGGATATACACGCATGCGCGCGCGCACTCTCTCTCTCTCGCTCTCTCTCTCCATTGAAATAAACTTCCCTCTTCTTCCACTGCCAGTGCAGTAGGCATTCCAGTCACCAGTTGTATTGGATGTGGCAAGGAGTTATTCACTCAAATGATTCAGTGACCTCTGCACTACCCTTAGTTTCGAAGTATCCACAGTTTGATAAACTGGTTCAGTCTCTCCTGCTTTCTCCCCCCGCCTTCACTTCTCTCTCTCTCTCTCGTGTCAACAATTTAAAGTCATACAGCAGAGAGGATGACCAGCAGCACTAAGCAATCTGATAGTGGAAATGATTTTGAGGCAATCAATCCGAATCCTACTTGAGTGGGCAAATCATATAATATAGTTATTACCCACTGAGCTTTCCAAAGGGCGGTATTGAGAGTGTCCCTTGCTAAACAGCACAGTGGGGTTTAATTGGCAGTTATGTTTAAACACAGGTCTATATTCAGCTGGGTTAGAAACAGCAAGGTTATCCACAAGGGGATGGCTAAAGGTAACCACAGGCTGGCATGCAGGGTGTCATCCTTGCAAGGTCTTCCATTAATGCTCTTGCTACAATGTACAGAACCCATTATAATTAAGGCTAAGATTTAGTCATGGGTATTTTTAGTAAAAGTCATGGACAGGTCACAGGCAGTAAACAAAAATTTACAGCCCATGATCAGTCCATGACTTGTACTATATACCCCTGACTAAATCTTGGTCTGGAGGGGGGGCTCTGGTGGCACTGTGGGTTCACTGGGGAGGGGGGAAGCCCAGGGGTGGCCTGGGGATGCAGTTGGTGCAGGGGGTGGCAGTGCGCAGACCGGGACCGCTGCTGGTGTTGGGGGGGCGGGGGGTGGGGGGAAGGTGGCACATGGCTTGGGACCACCATGGGGTGGGGGAAACGCATCCCAGGACCTTCGCTGGTGCTGGGGGGGCGGCGTGCAGCCTGAGACCGCCGCTGCTGCTCAGAGGGAGGGCGGGGGGCATGTCCTGAGACCGCCGCTGCTGCTCGGGGGAGGTGAGGGGTGGCGCAGAATCTGACTTCCATGACAGACTCGAAGCCTCAAATTATAATTTACATGGCAGTAGCACCCTAAATGTGCTAGGCATTGTATACACACACAGGGAGACACAATAAGGTCTTATTTTCCTCTCACACTATTATAACTCCATTGACTTTGGGGGAGTTACTCCTGGCTCGCCACAGTGTAAGGGGCTCCGGTGGTACTGCAGGTGCACTGGGGTGGGGGGCGGCCCAGGGGTGCCACTCATGCTCTGGGTTGGCCTGGGGACGCTACTGATGCAGGGGGCAGCGGCGAACAGCCCGGGACCACTGCTGATGCTTGGGGGAGGGGGGGTATATGTGTGACGGCACATGGCTTAGGACCACCACTGGTGGGGGGGGCATAGCCCAGGACCGTCGCTGGTGCTGGGGGGGGCTGCACACAGCCTGAGACCGCCGC